TGGTGGGCCCCGCGTCTCGGCTTGGTAGAATCGGTGGCAGTTGGCGAATGTTTCTGCCAATCTAACTTTTATGTATGTGCATGAGTGTTTGTTCTTGAAGTGCGTGGCCTGGATTGGCGCGTGTACTTCTCTTTGCTTTGTGATCTGGTAGTGTGCTCTTACTGTGGCGCTGCAATTGGGGTCGAAGTGGGTCCCTCGGTAGCCGTAGACGTGCGGAATTATGTTGTGCATGTCCCACGTGGGGCAGTAGATATTAGCGTCTGCTCGTGAGTAGTCGTTGTTTTGCTTGTATAGCACCTGGCCCTGCAATGCGCAGTGTCAATGCTGGTTTGTGTGGTTTGTAATTCATTTTGAAGCCGTAGTTGGTGAGGATGGTGCGTGCGTTTCCGTGGCTAAGTCTGCCGGGTAGTGCCCCAGTGGGTCATTGTCTCTGCATTGGGCCATGCTCAGAGTATCGTCTACAAATGCAATGCTTGTCGCGTATTTTCCCCTCGGGGCGTTGGTCGTTTGGATTTCTGAGAGCATCGGGTTACGTGGTATAGGTAGTGATGTTGCATCTGGTTTGTCTTGAATGTTGTTGGGCAGCTCACCAGGGGGTCGTTCGAAATATAGGGTATAGGTCGCGTCGGCTAGACTGTTGCCGGGTCTACAGCCCTTAGCGGGGTGCTTTGTGGTGTTGGAGTACGCGCAGATGAAGTGTGTTGCTTTGTAAAACTCGATTGGTTGCGCTGCTAAGTGTTGGTCGCAGATGCGCTTGTCGGGCATGCCAGGTTGTGCTAGTATCGCTTGCGCGAGTGGTATGGGGGCAGTCGGGAAATCGCTGTTGTTGTAGTATTTGGTTTGCTCGCTTTGGTTTGTGGTGCCAAATGCATTCCCCCCTACTGTCGCGCGGAAGGCAGCCGCGAGGTCGATGCTTATATCTGATAGTTGTGGTATGGTGGCTCTAGTAGTTATAGCTTGTGACCAGTGTCGCTGTTTGCGCTGCGAATGATGTCGATATTCTTGCAAGTCTTCCACGCAGTGTTGCGAGTAGCGCTTGACGCAGCCGCGGCGTCAGGTTCTGTCTGGTGGGGAAGGTGTAGTGGAGCTTGGATATTGCAGAGGCTACCAGGATGGATCGCATTGGGCTGCTTTGATAGTGGTGTCTTGTCCTTTGTGTAGTGGCACTGCTGGATCGTGCTTCCAGATGAGCGGCTCTTGCTGGTTGAACGGTTCTTTCAGTAAGAGTTGGCGTGTGTGCTTGGCAATGCTTGTAGGTGTTGCTTTCAGTGGGTCGGCCGTGGCTCGGTGGGATCCAGTTTTCTTTTTGTCTCCGGCTTTTTTTAATAATGAAAAAAATCGGATCATCGTGGAGGGCCTGGGCATTGTAATGACGTGTTGGAGTGTGTCTGGTGTGGGCGGTGTGGTCGTTGCGCAGTTGTAGAGTGCGCGGGTGTCGCCGTTGTCGGTAAGTCTGGCTTCTTCTTGATGAGCAAAGTGTCGGGTCGACTCGTTTGCTTGCTGCTCGTCCGAGTCGGTCCGTTCCTTTTGAGCCTGTAAAGGCAGATGTGGCTGTTGCTCTGCTCGCCTTCTTTTTGGTCGCTGGTCCATGTCGTAGCGCTGCCTTTGCGCGCTGCCGTGCTGCTCTGTGCTCTTGCATGTCTTGTAGGTGGAATTGGCTAGATGGTTGTGCGATGTGGTTGGCTCGGTCTTGCCCGAGTTGTATTGCTAGTGGTTTTCCTGGTTGCTGTGCGAAAGTTGCGCGTGACAGCGTGCGTGTGTGTGTGTGTGTGTGTCGATGCGGGGGTCGTCGTTAGCCTCGCATAGTGCAAGTCGTAGTTTGTGGATGTGCTCGTCTGTCGGTCTGCCTGTCGTATATTTCGTCGGGTTCGAACTGAGTGCATGATGGCTGGCGTGGTCTTTGGGTCTTGCCGTAGTACCGCAGTTGCGTGTCGTCGGGGTATGATCAGCTTCATGGTAGCGGCTGTGATGTATGGCTGTTTTGGCGTACACTCGCCCTTTGGGAAATGTGCTTTTGCTGCTTCGTGTATGGCGTCAGTTGGTAGTTGGTGGTGCTCGTTGATAGCTACGTCCCATGTAGGTGGGGGTTGCTTGTCAATCATCTCGGCGAAAGCTGCATGGTTGGCTGGGCCTTGAACTTTGATTGGGTCGCATAATGTGTGCGTGATGTTGCTTTTGGCGGTGCTTCGTGTGCACTGGAGAGTGGCATAGTTTGGGGAATTGTTTTCGTTTTGGGTTTTTGATTTGTGTCGGTGGTCGATATAGAGTCAATTTGCGTATGGTGTCCAGTCGTTGGCTATGGCAATGTAGTCGCCGCGGAAGCTGAGTGCCCTGTCATTGCAGTTTGTGGTGCGTTTGCGCGTCGGTTCGTGCTCCGTAGTTGCGTTGATGCACGCAAGGCCGCATGCTGACATGAGTAATACCACTTGTGATGCGCTGTCGTCGTCGCTGCGCTGTGCGGTGGGAGGTGGCGCGTTGCCAATGCCTGGCTAAGTCGTCTCAGAAATGTGCGCTCTAAAGTCGGCGAGGATGATCGTGGGTGGCCGCTTGGTTGCTAGCGCGTGGGATGTCTCCCACCAGTTGAGGGCGTCTGGGGTCGCGTCGGACGCGCGGGGCGTGCGCTGCGTAAATAATTTAGCTAATGGATGGGGCTCGTAGCTTAATAATGGGATGTCTATGCGATGCGTGTAGCTCTCGGACGTGTTGATGTTTGAAGTATGTTTGAAGTATAACTCTTTTCTTTGGTGTGGTCGCGCAGGGTACTGAAGCATTGACGAGTCGGCTGCGTGCTAGTTGTGATGGGTGTTGTGGGTTGGAGGAATGCGTCCGCTCAGCTGAAGTCGCTGCGTGCAGTTGTTTCTTGCACTCCCAGTGAGTGAGTCTTGTGCAGTAGCGTTTGTGCTCGTAGGTGCTGTCCCCTAGTCATGTGCTGTAGAGTCATGTTGTCGCATGACATCTTTCCATTGACAGCATCGACGTTGGCTCGTTGTGCGTTGTATGTGGCGAAGTTGACGTGGAGCTCGATGGCGTTGGTCTTCTCGTCGTTGTGTTTGGGCCTTGTGTTGTCTTGCTGATGTAGGCTGTAGGTGGCGGGCTCGAACTACACCCAAGCAACACCAAAATACTGAGCAACCAGACGAGAAGGACCGGACGGGCGAGCTCACGCACAGCACGTTTCCAATACATGGATATAGAAATCGTTCCATACGAGGGCAGTATCAAATACCTTGGCCAATTTATCAGCTTCCACGAACCGATGGAAACGGAAATCCACCACCGCACGCGAGCTGCATGGGCATCATTCACGTCTCGCAAGCAGGAGCTGACCAGCAAACTCTACCCAGTGGCTCACCGACTCCGACTTTTCAACGGCATTGTAGCACCAACAGCGTTATACGGAGCAGAGACGTGGACCCTCACGGAGCCTCTACGGCAGCATCTACGACGGTCGTTGTATTTCTTATAATGTTTGTGTTTGTTGCGATAGAACTTGCCGCTTGTGCTGTCGTTCCTGGTCGATCATGCTGTGCCCGAAGTCGACGAGTTGGTTGATTCGCATGTCCTCCTCGAGCTCTTGGGCGTCCGGTAGGGCTGGCAGTTGGTGTTGCGGTTGTTCTTGTCGTAGTAGCTCTTGCAGTTCTGATTTGTTTTGTTTGTGCCACTGTTCCACTTGAGTTTGGGTGTCTTTGTGCCTCTCCAGTTTGAGTTGTTGTTGTCTGGTTTTGCTTGCCGTCTGTTGCTGGCACTGCTCAGCCGTAGTCGGTTGTCGCTGGTAGTGTCGGCTGGCGGTCTGCAGATTCTCTTCTGCAGTGCCAGGGATGATCTTGGTTGTTGTCTCTTCGTGGTAGCTGGCCAGTATTGTGGATTATGTATGCTGTAGTATTTGTGCTGATGTGACTGCTTCTCGTGCTGCTAGTACTTCTTGTTCGAATATTGCTCGGTCGTGTGCTCTTTGTGTTGCTTGTTACGCGTGTTGTTCTTGATGTTTTCGTAGGTGGTGTTCGTGCCAGCGTAAGCTGGTCATTTCTTGGAGTAGTCCTTGTTCCAGAAGTTGAATTATTGCTCGGCCATGTTGATGTATGGTGCGTGTCTTTGCTCTAGTGCCGCTTTTTGTGTTTGGTAGTGGGTGTGGAGTTGTTGTTTTGTGCTGCATGTGTTCTTATGGTAATATATTTGATTGGTTGATGTCTTCTTTGTGCTGGTCCACTTCGTGTTGTGGTTGCGCGGCCAGTTGCTGGTATTTCGCTTGGAGCTCCAATCGTAGCTCTGCAAAGGCCGCCAATGACAATTCTTCTAGTTTCTCGTGTCGTTTGTGTGCTTTGACCTGTTCGTCGAGTGTCCTGGCGTTGTCGTGTTTTGCTTGCTCCCACTCGGTGCGGTAGTGCAGCAGCTGTGTTGTGGTCCATTCCATGTGTTGGCTTTTCTGCATTGTCTCAGCTGCCATCATCTGCGCGTGTTCTTCAAGGTTGGTTGCGCGTCGTATTGCAAGCTCTTCTGTGCGACTGGCCTGCTGTTTAGTGTTTTGGAGTGTTAGTAATCGTTGTCATGTGTCGTGGCAGTCGGTTGAGAGGTAGGTAGTCGCTTGCTTTTGATAATTGCTGCATGGTGTCTTCAGCGCTCTCAAGTCGCAGTTGTACGTGTTCGTCGTGGGTGCTTGGTCGTTGTACTGCTCCTAGTTCCTGTATAATTGTGTCGCTTGCTTGTGGGTCGTGTAGCGCCTTCTTGAGCAGTGTTTCGAGTTGTGCAACGTCTATCTTTGTGCAATGGCTTGTTGTTACTGGCTTGAGTGGTCGTAGTGGTGCTTTGAGTTGCGAGTACTGGTTGAGATGGACGTCTTGTGCTCTCGTTGACGTCGAATGGCTCGTATGTGGACTCGGTGTGTGCTGGCGTTGTTGGATGAGTTATTCCTCCTCCTCCTCCTCCTCCTCCTCCTCCTCCTCCCCCTCCTCCCCCTCCTCCCCCTCATCCTGGGCCCCCCCTCTCTCCCGCGAACCTGGCAGGCAGCTCCAGCAGTCGCCGAAATGGAGCGGCGCGCGGAGGTTCCCGGCCCCAGAGGATCGACTGATCCGCCGCCATAGGTTTTGAAGGTGTTGCGTCGTTTCATGGACGATGGGTTGAGGGGGAGGAGAGATGTGGGGGGTGGAGAGCGGGGAGGAGAGTGGAGCTCTGGAAGGGGATGGGTGGGGGGGGAAGGCAGGAGGAGAGGGGGGCTCACACTCGAAGGAGTTCGCGGATGTGGTGGAGAAAGTTGATGATAAAGATGATGATGTTGATGTTGATGTTGATGTTGATGTTGGCGATGGTGATGGTGATGGTTATGATGATGGTTATGTTGATGATCATGATGATGGTGATGTTGATGATGGTGATGATGATGATTATATTGATGATGTTGTGAATGGTTATGATGATGATTACGACGACGATGATGATGATGCTGCTGGTAAATGACGACGATGATGATGATTCTGATGATGTTGATGATGGTGTTGATCGTGAATATGATGGTGATGATGATTGTGCTGATGATGGTGATGATGACGATTAGGAGAAGAATGAGGCTGTTGTTGCTGCGGTGCTGATGATAATGAGGATGATGATGATGAGGCGGATTATGCAGATGATGCTGCTGATGATTATGCCGATGATATGATGGTGATGATGCTGATGATGATGGTGATGATGATGAGTAGGATGAGGATGATGGTGCTGATAGTGATTATGGTGACGAGGATGATGATGATGATGATGATGCTGATGATGATGATGATTGCGACGACGACGATGATGATGATGCTTCTGCTGGTGATCATGACGACGATGATGCTGATGATTATGATGACGATGATGATGTTGTGGATGATGGTGCTGATGATGAATATGATGGCGATGATGATTATGATGGTAATGATGATGACGATGAGGAGAATGAGGAGGCTGCTGCTGCTGCTTGTGGTGATGATGATGGTGAGTAGGATGAGGATGATGATGATGATGATGGTGCTACTGCTGGTTATCATGACGTCGATGATGCTGGTGATGATGATTATGATGATGATGATGTGGATGATGTTGATGATGAATACGATGGTGACGCTGATGATTATGATGATGATGGTGATGATGAAGAATCTGAGGAGAGGGAGCAGGCTGTTGCTGCTGCTGCTGATGATGATGATGATGAGTCGGATGAGGATGATGATGAGGATGATGATGAGGGTGCTGACGATGCTGATGATACTGCTGCTAATACTGACGATGATTATGATGCTAGTGATGGTGGTGATGCTCATGATGCTGCTGTTCTTGATCATGGTGTTGGTGATGGTTATGGTGATGGTGATGACCATGAGGGTGGTTATGGTGATGATGGTGTTGATGATGATGATGAGGTTGCTGATGATGATGATGTAAATGGTTATGATGATGATTGCGACGACAATGATGATGGTGATGATGTTGATGATCATGCTGACGATGATGTTGATGATAATGATGATTATGATGACCAGTATGATGGTGTTGATGATGGTGCTAATGATGAATATGAAAGTGGTGATGGCTGTGATGATGATGGTGGTGATGATGATGAGGAGAAGGAGGAGTCTGTTGTTGCTGCTGTTGATGATGAGTAGGATGAGGATGATGATGATGAGGTTGATGAGTATGATGATGTTGACGATGATGATGATGATGATGATGATGTTGGTGAGGGTGCTGATGCTGCAGATGATGATGCTGATACTGAAGCTGGTGATGATGATGGTGATGATGGCGATGATGATGCTGATGATGCTGATGCTGATGAAGATGATGCTGATGATGATGATGATGTTGAATAGGATGGTAGTGATGGTGCTGATTGTAATGATGATAACGAGGATGATGCTGATGATGATGATTGCGACGACGATGATTATGATGATGATGATGATGGTGATGATCATGACGACGATGATGCTGATGCTGATGACTATGATGACGATGCTAATATTGTGGATGATGGTGCTGATGATGAACATGATGGCGACGATGGTGATGGTAATGATGATGATGATGATGAGGAGGAGAAGGAGAAGGCTGCCGCTGCTGCTTGTGATGATGATGATGTGGAGGATGAGGAGGATGATGATGATGCTGATGATGATGATGCTACTGCTGGTGATCATGACGACGATGATGCTGGTGATGATGATTATGATGACGGTGATGATGTTGTGGATGATGGTGCTGATGATGAATACAATGGTGATGCTGATGATTATGACGATGGTGATGATGATGACGATGAGGAGAAGGAGGAGGCTGCTGCTGCTGCTTAAGATGATGATGCATAGGATGATGATGATGATGAGGATGATCAGGATGATGATGCTGATGATGCTGATGATGCTGCTGATGCTGCTGATGCTGCTGGTGACAAGGACGATGTTGGTGGTGATGCTGATGCTGATGATGATGGTGGTGTCGATATTGATGATGGTGATGCTGATACTGATGATGATGGTGATGATGATGTTTAGGGTGAGGATGATGACGCTGATTTTGATGATGATGACGAGTATGATGTCGATGATGTTGCTGCTGATGATGACGATGATGATCATTATGATGATGCTGATTATGATGGTGATGCCGATGCTGCTCTCAACGATGATGGCGATGCTGCTGCTGATGATTGCGGTGACGATGATGCTGATGATGCTGATGATGATGATGATGAATATGGTGATGATGATGGTGATGATGATGCTGCTGCTGATGATGACGATGATGCTGCTGATGATGATTATAATGGTGATGACGAATATGCTGGGAATGATGATGGTGAGGCTGCTGATGCTGATGCTGATGATGATGTTGTTTTTGATGATACTGAGCAGGATGAGGATAATGATGATGATGGTGAGGGTGAGGGTGATGATGATGATGATGCTGATGATGATGATAATGGGACGAGGAGGAGGAGAAGGAGGAGAAATGGAAGGAGGAGCAGGAGAAGTGAAAGGGGGAGGATGGTCCGCCGCCACGGGCGTCGTTTTCGGGTTCCCGGGGCCCTCCACGGGCCCCGGGAGTGTCACGAGAAAAGGCTCAGGACGGAAGGCGGGTCTTGAGGAATGACCCTCGGGTCCATGGCCCATTTCCTTCACGACGTGTTATTATGAACGCCTTACGGCGACCCTGACGGCGCCCCCCCCCCAGGACCTTGGGGCCACGGCCACGCCCACGGCCAGGGCAGGGGCCAATACCACGGCCACGGCCACAGCCTCATGCCCCAGCAGCAAGTTCATGGGCGAAGAACGCCCTGACGTAAAGTCTCCAGCAGCCCTCGGACGGGCGTCCCAGATGGCGGAGAAGACAATTCGAGACGTTCTTGGACTGCTAATGAAGGAAAGGGATCCTGGATGAAACGGGTCCTGGAGGTTTCGTTTGTTTGGGGCTCCAGGGGGGAGCTCAGATGCGAAGGGGTTTGTGGAGGTTGTGCAGGATGGTGGCGATGATAAGGAAACGGAGGAACAAGAGGCCGCTGCTGCCAATGAGGGGAGGTGGACGAGGAGGACATGGAGGAGGAGGCTGCTGCTGCTGAGGAGGACTCGCCCCTCCCATCCCTTCCCATTCCGTTTTTTGTTGTCTTTATTATCCCACGCGTATCATAGCGTTATGCGCAATCGGGAAGGGGACCTGCGTACATGAGGGGAAGAGCATGATGATGATGAGGTCGAGGAGAAGCCGCATGAACAGGAGGATGAGCAGGAGGAAAAGGTAGTTGAGGAAGGAGGAGGACGAGGATGAAGAGCAGGAGTTGGAGTGACACCACCATATCGGACATCGAAGAACAATCCGGGCCAATCCTAGATGTAAAACACAGTGCGTGGAGGCGACCGTGCAATTCTCAGCACATCTCTGGTGGAGAGGCGAGTAGTCGAAGGTTGGGGAGTGAGATCGGAGTGGCACGGAGAGCCCCCCACCCGTAAAGCGGTTTCGGTTTTGGGTTCGTGGCGAAGGTGCGTGGGCGGGCGAGTGGAATGATTCCGCTTTGGCTTGGGCGGGTCAGACAAGAGACCGCCCCTCTTGGTGGGCCGGCATGGCCGGGAGTGTCCCGCCGTGGTGTCCTCATAGTGTCTCGTCGGTGTCCGCGGGCGGTGGCCGGGGGTGTCCCGCCGTGGGGTCCCGTCGGTTCCCCGTCGGTGCCCGCGGGCGGTGGCCACGAGTTTCCCGCCGTGGTGTCCCGCCGTGGTGTCCCGTCGGTGTCCCGCCGTCGGGGCATACAGTGAGAGCGATAGTGAGACTGCTGGTGAAATTCATTGAGTGAGACGTTGTTTCCGTCACCGCCTCACTTAATTGACATGATTAGTTGGTTGTGGTAACCACAACCTCCTTATCAGCCTTATCACCCGAAGGGTGGTCGTATGGGTGTGCATTGTGCAGCTGTAGAGGAAGGGAGAGGAGGAGGAGGAGGAGGAACAGGAACAGGAACAGGAACAGGAACAGGAACAGGAAGAGGAGGAGGAGGAGGAGGAGGAGGGTGCTGATGTCTGCTTATGGTGGTGCTGATGATGAGAAGGGGAAGGAGGAAGAAGAGGCCGCTGTTGTGGAGGAGGGGAGGCCGTTGTTGCCGTTTTTCACCCAATTCGACCTCCGAGAGTCGGTTCATTTGGTTGCGGCCACCCTGGTACCTTCGCAGTTGTCCGGGGGTTTGCGCCGTTGCAACTAGTTCCCGTCCGCAGCTTTCCCTGGTCGCCGGTTACCCTGGCCGCCTGCTGCCTCCGACGCCTTGCATGCGTGCACTTGGCAGTACTGGTATCCAGCCTACCGCCTGCCTTTTCCACTCGCCGGCCCGCCGCCGAGGTGCTGCGTGAGGCCACGGCCCACTCCTTTAGGTTAATTCGTCTTTGCGCGCCCCGCTCTGACTGGACTCGCCGCTGGCGCGCTCGCCCGCGGCCACTGACAAAAAGAAGGAGGGGAGGAGGAAACGGAGGAGAAGAAACTACTGCGGAGGAGTGCCCTCAAAAGGGGAGGAAGACGACGACCAGTGGAAACCCAAAACGTATCAA